AACATAAAGTTATCTTTTTTGCTGCCGAGCAATACAGATAGCGGTTTTTAAGTACATGAATGAAAAGAAAGATTGAAATGAAGGGGCGAAGGAGGTGATTACAGCTGTGATTGAAATAAAATAATTCATAGCGCGTACCCTGGGTAAAGAATCAAAGCGTCTCCCAAAGTTTAAGAGTCATGAAATTTGTTCCCAGTCTACCAGATTCTACAGCACAAAAACTGATATCTCACAGTCACTTATAGTTTCGTAAAAATTTTAATTTTTCAGAATGACTGGAAATGAAAAACAACAAATGAAGTCGAGAAGTCTGTGGTCCCAATTGAAATAAAATTTTAGACGAACTTCATTTCAAATATTATATAAGAAGCGCACCTTTATTGGACATACGCTAGAGCAGACCTTTTTTGCAAATAATTGAGTTAAAACGATGTAAGAAGCAGAACTAATCCGAATGCGTGGGAAAGTTATCGACCTGCAATGTGAACGTGCTAAGTCCGTTCCAGGAAGATGTTCCAGAAATATTAATTGAACGAATAAAGCCAGAGGTCAACACTAGAACAACAGTAGCACTTTCAGCATGAAATGTGAAAAAAGACCGCAAAAACAACAATGGAAAGAAAAAGTGAACGAACGTCGTGCAATTGAGAGACCACCCGATGACATTCGGACGGAGGCAATGGGGCGCGAAATCTGCAGCTATTCCGCCGTTGAGCAAAGGAAATCGTTCGTAGCCATGGTAGCGTTGAACTAAGAGTTTGCTCATATTTTGTAGAACGAAATTTCACACGTACCCGGAAACTTCCTCCCTCTGCAAAATTGGAATTCCTGTGAGTGGCAGCCACTGTCTCACCACATACCCCACCTTACTGGGATAGACCCAATAAAATCTTTCAGGGTCGTAAGAGGAGAATAGTGCCCATTTAACATTTGACGCTGTAAATAAGGCAGCGCACATGGTCGCCTATTCGATAGTTTGCGAATCGCTGGATCCGAGCGTTGCGCCAGCGAATCGAACGTTGCACCAGCGAATCGAACTTTGCACCAGCGAGTCGAACGATGTACCAGCGAGTCGAACTAGGTACCAGCGACTCAATAGTGGCGGGACCCAACGTTCAAAGGAAGTCCGCCACTTTCAAACAGTGTCCACTGTCAAGTTCGAATTCGACTCGCTGGTGCATCGGTCGATTCGCTGACGCAAAGTTCATTCGCTGGCGCAGAGCTGGATCCAGCGAGTCGCAACGATGACATCGGTCTTCTGCGATTGCGCGAATGTGCGATTGCCATGGCTGCGACGCGTGGTTCACGCGCCGCGGCTTTGGCCGTGTGTCATACTTTTTCCCGCTTATTCTTCCGTCTGCCAGTATGACCCGATCACGAGAATGAGATCCGTTTTTAACGTTGGCCCTGTTTTGCAGCAACGTAGGCGCAAGCTCAAAATGTAAAGTCTTGTCACCATGGGAATAGAACAATTGTGATTGTCTACTACTTCTCTTTTAACCTTATCAAAACCGCTTAGCGGGAATGAAACATGGTTTAGTGCTTCACTATACAAAAACTGTTTTGAAACGGCCACCTTGCCCAAACTCCCTCCCCCCCCCTCCACCACCCTCCCTGCAGTCCATTAACCTTCCATTGAAATTGACGTAGGGGACATTGTAGCAGGCCCTTGGGAGAGATCAAAAGTCAGTGGGAAATTTTACTAAAAACAATGAAATAATTTCATTCATATATTCAGGTAAAGTGGATTGTTCTTGGTATTCATACGATGGAAACAAGGAAACAAAAAACATATATAAAAGAAGCATAGGTAAATAATATTCTGGTGTTTTCAATTCTTATAGTCCGTCAAAGCAACATTCTTCTCGGACCTATTTTGCATTATTCTTTTTCCATTGGCCATGAGTGAGGGTAGGGCCATTAACGCCCTATTTCAGAAAAGGAGAGGAGCGTCGAGTACAGACCACACACCACAAGTGACGACGGCCAGAAAAAAGAGAAGAAAAAGCCACGATTCTCGTTACCGTCGTCACTTGTGGTGTGTCCATGGACCCAAAGTTCCTGGTGTCATTTTCCGATCTCAAATGTAAAGCTTGATGCAAGGTCAACAGTGTCGTACGGCCGATTTCAAAACCTTTACGACCCTCCCCCACCTCTTTAGGGATTTTCGATACAACATACGTGTGGGGTTGCCTCCCCCAATAAGACTCCCCTTTCGACCTTTTGACATCGTTAACTCCAGTTACGCCCCACCCCCTCAAAGTCGCAAAGACGACTTACCTCTCGACTGGATCGCCCGGACCGACCGTTAACCCAGGCTCGACTTTGACCACAGGATGCTTTGAGACGCGCCACGTATTCAACTTGCACCCCAAATTGCACTAGTATTCGAATGCATAC